TGCCACTAGGGTGCAGTGAAGGGGTCAAAAGTGAATCTAACCCAGCAATGCCACTATGGTGCTGTGATGGGGTCAAAATTGAATCTTACCTAGCAATGCCACTATGGTGCTGTGAAGGGGTCAGAAGTGAATCTAACCCAGCAATGCCAATATGGTGATTGTGAAGGCGTCAAAAGTGAATCTAACCTAGCAATGCCACTATGGTGCTGTGAAGGGGTCAGAAGTGAATCTAACCCAGCAATGCCACTATGGTGCAGTGAAGGCGTCAAAAGTGAATCTAACCTAGCATGCCACTATGGTGCTGTGAAGGGGTCAGAAGTGAATCTAACCCAGCAATGCCACTATGGTGCAGTGAAGGTGTCAAAAGTGAATCTAACCTAGCAATGCCACTATGGTGCTGTGAAGGGTTCAGAAGTGAATCTAACCCAGCAATGCCACTATGGTGCTGTGAAGGGGTCAGAAGTGAATCTAACCCAGCAATGCCACTATGGTGCAGTGAAGGCGTCAAAAGTGAATCTAACCTAGCAATGCCACTATGGTGCAGTGAAGGGGTCAGAAGTGAATCTAACCCAACAATGCCAATATGGTGCTGTGTAGGCGTCAAAAGTGAATCTAACCTAGCAATGCCACTATGGTGCTGTGAAGGGGTCAGAAGTGAATCTAACCCAGCAATGCCACTATGGTGCAGTGAAGGGGTCAACAGTGAATCTAACCCAGCAATGCCACTATGGTGCTGTGATGGGGTCAAAATTGAATCTAACCTAGCAATGCCACTATGGTGCTGTGAAGGGGTCAGAAGTGAATCTAACCCAGCAATGCCAATATGGTGATTGTGATGGCGTCAAAAGTGAATCTAACCTAGCAATGCCACTATGGTGCTGTGAAGGGGTCAGAAGTGAATCTAACCCAGCAATGCTGCTATGGTGCTGTGAAGGGGTCAGAAGTGAATCTAACCCAGCAATGCCAATATGGTGATTGTGAAGGGGTCAAAAGTGAATGTAACCTAGCAATGCCACTATGATGCTGTGAAGGGGTCAGTAGTGAATCTAACCCAGCAATGCCACTATGGTGCTGTGAAGGGGTCAAAAGTGAATCTAACCCAGCAATGCCACTATGGTGCTGTGAAGGGGTCAAAAGTGAATCTAACCCAGCAATGCCACTATGGTGCTGTGAAGGGGTCAAAAGTGAATCTAACCTAGCAATGCAACTATGGTGCTGTGAAGGGGTCAAAAGTGAATCTAACCTAGCAATGCTGCTATGGTGCTGTGAAGGGGTCAGAAGTGAATGTAACCCAGCAATGCCACTATGGTGCTGTGAAGGGGTCAAAAGTGAATCTAACCCAGCAAT